CAGCTTTCCTGGAGCCCCTTCAGGCACTGGAAGCTGCTCTAAGGTCTCCCTGGAGCCTTCTCTTCTCCAGGCTGAACACCCCAACTCTCCCAGCCTGTCTCCAGAGCAGAGCTGCTCCAGCCCTCCCATCATCTTCATTATGTTTTAACTCAATGCACTCAAAGGTCTTTCCTAACCAGCACGATGCTGTGGGCCTGTGGCACTGGCAGCAGGTTGTGTTGGGAGGTTGAGGAGACTCACCTGAGCTGTGGGAACACCTGAGTAACCCCTGTTCCCTCTTTCTCTCTCTTCCAGACCTGCAGCCACGTGTCAGTAGTGGAGAGAGACGTGGTCCTCCTGGATCTCCGATAGGCCTCTTGCCTTCCCCCTTTCCAGAAACCATCTCCCTTCCTCCCAGGCCTGGGGAAGGGAGGTCTGTTCCCTCCTCTAGCAGATGATTCTTACCCTGAAGTGATCCTTGTCCCCCCTCCCCAACAACCATGGGGCAGTTGTTCCCCTGACCTCAGTGGGAGCACATGGAGCCTCAATGCTTGGCCTGGGGCTGGAAAAGTGGTGCTGAGGTTCAAAAGTGGGGGGCAAAGCCAACTGGGAATTCAAAGATGGGGAACTAACACTGAAGCAACTGATTAAATCTCTTGTCTTTGGCTCCAAGAGCTTCTTGGGGGAGGGTTTCCTGGTATTTGCTGCAACCATGAGGTGTGGAAACCTCTTCCAAATGTTTTCCATGTGGGACTTGCTTGAGGCTTTGTTTCGCCTCTCTGGGTTGCTCTGGGCTCGGCCTGGATGGCTGGAGTAGATAAATCCTTTGCTAGAGTTGAAGGTGAAACCTTCCTCACCCCCCTCACATGAGCTTATGACCACTGAGCCCAAGGGAGTCCTTGCTGGGACTCAGGCCTTTGCCCAGGGAGGTAAGAAGGGGTCCAACCTTCTTTGGGAATCCCTGTTCCAGGGTTTTGGGTGCCTAGATGTGGCACAAGGTGCTTCATTCCAGCAGTGATGAGGAGTCTCTGGTTACTTGGGTTCTTTTTCCTGGATGAGGGGTTTGCTCTGACCCTGCAGTTCAGCTCCTTGCTGGTGTCACCTTGGAGGAGACTCTTGGTCTCTTGGCTGGTTGTGTGAAGGCTCTGCAAGGCCATCACCTCCAGAACCTCGTGCTGCTTCATTCCTCAAGTCACCACCCCTGGGTGCCTCGGTGCTCCTCAGAGCAGTGTCAAGTCTGTCCTTGACAAGACCAGGTGTGACCACCGTCCTGTGGTGCCAGCTGGGACCTCCTCCCAGGTCTGTTGAGCACCAACCAGCCCCGTGTTCCCCCCCAGCCACTTTTTCCTTCCTGGGGTTTATCCAGGCTGAGCCTCCCCCCTGGTGCCTGCTGGCAGGGAAGGGGAAGCAGCAGCACTGCAGGCTGGGAGGCTCCAGCCTCATCCCCAGCATCTCCACACCCTCCAGCAGGACGCTGGGATGAGCAGCACGGGGTTGTGTGGGGAGGGGAGAGGCTGGAGCTGCCTTCCCACCCACTCTGCACACCTGTCCCATGTCGTGTCCTTGTGCTCCCACCTGCAAAACCCACGGGGGAGCAGCTCAGCACAGGTGGGTTGTGTCCTCTTGGCTCAGTTTCTTCTTCCACTTGCATCTTGGAGCTAAAGGGGAGGGGGCTGGAGGGGCCTGGCCTGGCTGAGCAGGGAAGGAATTGATTTATCTAAGGGCTGGGTGGGGGCTGCAGGAAAGCTGGGGAGGGGTTTTTAGCAGGGCCTGTAGTGGTAGGACAAAGGGGAATGGTTTTCAAGTGGAAGAGGGAGATTGAGGTTGGACGTGATGAGGAAATTCTGGAGTGTGAGGGTGGTGAGACCCTGGCCCAGATCCAACCCCCTGCATGGGCAGGGACACCTCCCACCAGCCCAGGCTGCTCCAAGCCCCATCCAACCTGCCCTTCAACACCCCCAGGGATGGGGCAGCCACAGCTTCCCTGGGCAACCTGGGCCAGGCTCTCACCACCCTCACACCAAAGAATTCCCTCCTCAT